CTCGGTTCCGACCGTGCATGGTCGTAGGCCAAGGCGTTTTCTGTAGTTCCCCATGAACCATACCAGCCCACCAAGAGGAAACTCATGTAAAAGTGGGCCAGGTGATGCTGAAAAACAGCAAAAGGGTTGGCACATAGACCTGTAAGCAAGGTCTATGACTATGGTGTTGCTGTAAAGGCGATGCAAACCTGTGATTCCCAAGTACCTCCACCCAACAGCTGCTTTTTCCCATGTCCAGAAACCCAAGTAAAAAGAGCACTGGGACACGGGAAAGCAATCGTAGTCGTATCTTTAAAGGGATTCCTTCATACTGTGTTGGGCAAAAGCAAGCACCAGTTCAAATGGATGAAGCCCTATGAATACTGGGATAGAACACCCACCAACTGGACTTGCAGGATTTGTCGACCCACAAACAATTCCGATCATGCTGGGTCCAATAAACTAATCTTTTCCCAACCTACCGTCTAAAGTAGGGGATGGGTATGACCCCCTTCAAGCCATAATTGCAATGCATTATTGAATGGGGTCATTCTAAAGTTATAGCAACATGGACCGCATCATCAGACCAAACAGGGGTCCCCCAAGGCCCCTCGCCTGAATGTCTTGGTAAGCCTCAATGAGGCTTAGTAAGGCTCAGTAAGTCTTGGCGAGGCCAGATTTGAGCCATATTCAAGAGGGGACTTGCCATAGTTGACAAATTTTCAGCGCGGGAGCACGCCGTGTTGGCGAATGCCAGCGTTGTACCTCCGGAATTCCATCCAGCCTGTGGGAATTTGCTTGGTGGTTTGATCCGCATAAGCTGTTTGAGACTGGTGGGAACTGCTATTTCCTCCAGATCTGAACGTAGACTGACACTCAGGCAGGGTCTCACCATGGCTCTGTCATGGATTCATCATCTTGTCAACCAACATTTTTTGTGATTCGGGCACGAGCCTGTGCCCAGGCAATGGGTTAGTTGGGGTAAACAAGCCACAAAAGAAAGGTTCCCCAAAAGCAAACCAATCCCCGGTCCCAAAGATCAGGGTTTCCCACACACCAGAGAACAACAACCAAAGGAAAACAAACCAAACAAGAAAAGGGTTAACCCGCAACCTTGGTCGACAACAGGCCGCACGACTGGTCCCTACCAACCTGGCGGCGGCCCGAGGTCTCTTTCTCCCCCGAGATGCCGTCGGTCGACGCAGGGGTTCGGCGACGCCCATTCGAGGCGCGACGGAACCCAAAACTTGAGCCAAAACACCACAGGTCGGTCACTAACGCGACGTCCCTGATGATGATATTAACCATGGCTAATCACACCCCCCTCACGAGGAGCCCGTCATATGACGGGTGGAGCGTGCCATTTACTGATAGGATTTAACTGCTCGCATGCGTCCGCAAACAGCTGGACACTACCGCCGTCAGCGGTGGAGCAAACCCACAAAGGCAGTTGCGCGACATCCCGGGCATTAAATTCCCGCCACCACCCCGAATTAATCGGGGTAACGCTGTCCAACATACCTTGTGGAAAGGTCCACATGACGACACTAGGTCACAACTGTTTGCATCAACAATGCAAGAAGTTTAATTCTTATCAGAAGCCATGAAATAAAAGATAACGTATGTCCATTAGTACCCTCGCCTAACGGCAAGAGGTACTCCTGACCATGCGTACCTGAAAAATGCTTGAATTCCGCAAACCCGGGAGTAACCCCCCATCAGTTTGCTTTCCCTCTCACTCACACTGCTTCCTGATGAACACGTCCAGCAGCCCAGCAGCGGTATGGGAGAGACATGACCTCCGCGCCTCAGCGGTCCGGGAGGAACATCACCACCTCCGCACCGCGCCGACCATTGGAGAATGGACGCAAGCCTATCGGCCGCAATCCTCGTGACTCAGCCTACCGGCTATCGTCACGTCTCCTCCGGTCACGTCCGCCCCGCGCACGGTCCCTATCACGATCCCTTTCGGATCTCCTGCGATCATCTCGCCTTCGATCTCGCTCCCGATCGAGTGAATCATCATCACGACGATCACGAGCATCGTCCCTCCTCCGGTCTCGATCATCCTCGCGCCGCGGACGGTATCTGCGCCTTCTCGACTCTCTGGAATCCCTGGTATCCACGGTCTTAACGGACGTTTTTCGAGAAGGAGTACGGGAAACATCCGATTCCCTACGCCTCCTCCCAGAGCGAGAGTTCGTCACGATCTGGTTGAGAGCCTCCAGTGCTGACGCGTCCTCACCATTTCTGATGAAATCCCTGACTTGCTTGTTCAGCACTCTGTTGGTGGAGATCGACAAGAAAGCGTCCACCACCGAACCCTCAGGCAGCACCAGGAAGTGACCCTCCACCGGGCTCGCCGCAGCCCGCTCAGCAGACTGCAACCGGATCTCCCCGCCTTCAGGCTTCTTTGCCATCGCCTTGGAGGCCGTCAAAGGCGCTACCGCATCCTTTGCCGAAGATCTGCCAAGCGCGGAGTGAAGATCATCTCCACTAGCCTCTCTTGCTGCCGCACCTGGTCTGCTGTCAACGTCATCAGGCCTCGTCGATGCCTCTCGCTTCGTTGACTCCTTCACAGTCTCGTCAGGATCCCAACGGGACTTCCTTTCTCTCTTCTGCCCTTCAGCCGACCCCCGACTACCGCCAGGAGCGTCGTCTCCGCCTACCTTCTCCTTCTTGACCTCAACTCTCGGTTCGGTCTGCTTCGCCTCCTTAGCCTCAGCCTTTGGAGCCGGAGCACTCTTCGCCTCAGACACTGAAGCGACCTTTCCTTTTGGCTCGGCCTTTGGAACCGGGGTCATCTTAGCCTTCGCACTCGGCCGGGCCCCTTCAACCGCTATCGCGACCCAAGTCTTCTTCGGCTGAGCCGCTGCTGCATCAACCTCCATCGGAGCTGGTCCAGCATCATCCTTTGCTTTTGCCTTTGGGACAGATGGGCTACCGCCCTTCCCAGATCCTTTACCTGGCACTTCACCCGACTTCGGTGGTGGGCCGGAAGGACTACCGCCCTTACCGCCCTTTTCTCCCTTCTTTCCTTTTCCTTTTCCGCCCTTGGTGACCGGCTCCTGCTTGGGACCAGGACCCGGCGCAGCATGATGCACCGATTGAAGTCCCTCGATGTCCACGTCTAATGGTTCGGGCTGACGACCATCAAGAACCGTCCTCACCCTTTCGTCACTGACGTAGACGAATGGGTCGCGGAAGGGTGCGGGAGGCTCCGACTGTCCGGCACTGATCGCCTTCTGCACCTTGGCTATCGCCTCCTTCAACCTCTTCTTCTCATCGTACCCTGTCTCCGATACCATGTACTGCCTGAGCTGCGATATCAATGCATGACTTTCCAGGATGCCCACGTCCTTCCGATGGGTCGGATACAATGGGGTCAGATGACCAGCCGCGGAGCCAATCACGTATGCCATCGGAATATAGAAGGACAAGTACGTGTCATGGCGAGCGAACTTCCTAACGGAAGTCGTCATACGCCTACCCCACTGAGCAGCATGCCTCGGGTTAGCCCGGAAGTACTCCGTGACCGACTCAAATCTATCGACTTGGTTGGTCAAAATCAGGTGCTTCGCTACCCACTTCTCCACGAACGCATCTGAGGCCGAAATCCCCGACACATAGGAGAATTGGAAGAGCACCTTCGCCAGCTCATCCCACGCCGTATCAACTCCTCCCTTGTCTTCACCAAGATAAGGGGGCAGTCTGATGCCGCTCTGCACCGTCATTCTCAGATCAGACGCCATCGAATAGGAACTTGATTTCCCGACGAGCGCTCGAGGCTCTTCTGGGAGCGGGCCGAGGCCGTGCGCCAGCGGCTGCTGCCCTCTGTGAGGCTATCGCGCGGCGGCGATTGGATGCTGAAAGCCACTTGATGACTCCGACCACTTCGGAGGGGATCCTCTTGGGCTTGAATTGCCCCATGGTCCTCACCCACTCCGGGACGATGCGGCACCTCTCGAAGCCATTTTCCTCCGCGTTGGGGATAAAGTTCGGGTAAAAGACCGGGAGCGCGCACCCAGGACACAAATGCATCCCATTTGGCGTCATCTCCGCGCACCTCAAACAGAACGTGGTGGTTACATTCAACCTGACCTCTTCCCGCTGCTCTCCCCTAACGGGGGTGAAGTCACCATAGTCCCATGCCCGATGGTACACTATCGTGTAATCATCGTACATGTATGCTGCCTTCCAAGCTCCCATGTGGATCTCGTTCCGAACGGCAAGGGTCTTCCTTCTTGTCAAAAACACGGGCCCAACCAAGGACCAGTGCACCCGAAGGTCCACCATTACCACCACGTACCTACCCGAGTAGTTCCGCAGCCTGTCTCTGACGTACCACGAAGGCGATACCTCGGCATCCGGCGCCATGGCTCCCACAAGTGGGATCAGGCCCTCATCCTGCCTACCATCTCCAATGGTCTCGTACACGTCGGGCCTCGTGATCAATATCTCGATCATGGCCTTTCCGTTTCGCCTCACCCTTTGGAGCTGAACCGCCTTCCTAAAGTCCGAGAACTTCATGACGACGTACCCCACCATGGGGAGTTCATTCCAATGCATCTCGTACATCAGAGATCCGCCAGGTGCATCCTCTTGAGTGTACCTTTGCCTAACGGCACTGTAACTCATGTCGCGCCCGATCCGCGTGTGCCTAACGGCCACTAACCTAGTGCTCTCCTTGAGGAGGACACCATTCCCGTCGTACATGACCATGAGCATCGCCTCAACTTGCCCTATCGGGAAAGCTTTGAGCGTCGGAATGAAGAACTTCCACGACATCTCGGCGTTCTCCATGCCCGAGATCTCCTTCAGGAACCAGATGGCCTGGTCACTTTTCACCCAGTTTCCAGCCTCACGCCCGGTCTCCTTCAGCACACGTTCCTCGAATAACTCCGAGACCCTCTTCGAGTTGATGACCAGACCCTCGAAATCGCACGAGAGCAGTCTCATCAACTCCTTAGCCGCCTCCCGCCCTGCAACGGTGCCCGCGGTCTCCTCGTAGTTCGGGAGGT